GATAGGGCCATATCGAACCACTTTCGTTTGAATTGCCTCCTATGGGAGGCTGACCACTATTGATTCACGAGTACAGCCGTTTTCCTTTTACCAGGCGTGTTCTTTTCCGTCATGTAGCCACCATATGCGATTTATCGCTAGGCCGGGAATCTGAGCCACAGTCGCTGTCTCAATCTCCCTAATAATTGCGTGGTTGTTGGCATCTTTGCCGCCCTCAATTCTTGTCCGCAGTGGGACCCCAGAAACCTCAACGGGAAAGCCTTGACGCAAAATTTGAAAGTCGGCTGGATATCGCATATTAAGCGCCACGCCCCTCTAAAACGCCGAATGGACTAACACCCCAGTGTCGTTGCTTCGACTTTGATAGCAGCTCTTCAGGCTGCAATTTGTCCGCTCCATCGATTCTAATACGTACCGCTGTTTTCGTCATTTGACGGCGGCATTTCCGATGCTACTGCTGGAGAAGCATTGCGAGTGGGATCCTCGAGGCTCTTTTTAACAACCTCCTCTATTGCCATCATCCTCTTCTCCATTGGAAACTTCTGAGAGATTTCCGTCCAGGCCCTTTTATGTGCGTTGAAAGCCTTCACGGCCTCGTTCACATCCTCCATTGATGGTGAGACCTCCTCATCTATCTCGCACATGACGATTAGTCTGACCTGTTTTAATAGCTTCCCTGTCGGTTGGTTATATACACGTGTACGCGTAAGCAATGGGGTTCTCTCAGATGTGTTGGTTCTCGTTCTATTTACTTGCGGGCGTGTCTTCCATATGGGCGACACGGCGAACCGCACTAAGTCATGTGACTACTGCCTACTCACAAAACAAACTCCCATACCTGCCGGGTGACCACAAACCTACTTCGGCTTTGAGGATTCCTCATTAATATTACAACACTGGCAAATTTTCTTTTTGACACAAGTTATCTGTTGCCAAGATCCAGCAGATTGGTTGTAATTTCACCCTACCCATAGCAACAACCTGAACAACTCTCGCAATCTACTTCCCAGATACGGATCGTTCTACAAATCCTTCCACAAGAACTGTCAATTGGTTACTGTCGATAAAGCGCTCAAGGGCTTTGTTTGGTGTAGATTTCGTCATTGCATCAGCTGGGTTGTCATCTCCATGAATCCAACGTATTTCTGTTATTTCTCGTCGTTCATAAGACTGACGCAATGCCATGATGTCAATCATAAGTCGCTTTTCTTTGGTAGTGCCCAACTTAACAAGGCATTCGTATAGAGAGTAGCTATCGGTACAGACAACCAACGGAATGGGCGGTATTGATAATCTTTCTGTAATTCTGCGTAGGGTAGAAGCAATTGCGAATCCAGCATCAAATCCGTTTACCATACCATAAATCTCTGATGCAAGTACACTCCGTGTTACACGCTTACACTTAGTAGAGGACTAATGGATAAGGTTTCCAGTTGGATCAAAAGAATTGCTACAGTTGCGCTCATTAACAAGCATCAGCACGAAACCTAGTTGAGAACTCAAATCATTATTATTTGCAAATGAGCCATCAGCAAAAACAATTAATTTGGCAGCGGCGAGATTGATTGGGATATATTTGAGGCCTCTATCAAGGTGATCGATTTGCCATTGAAGCCGCCGATTGATATTCATGTAATCTTTCTCCTGAGGGTCCCGGACTTGAGCAGCGACCGATAGGTCAAATGAAGATTCAGGTTGACAAATTGAAGCTATGTAAGCACCACGGGCACGTTGCTCTAGGTAACGCTAAGCACAGTCACTTTTGTGAGCATTAATAATCTCAATTTTGGCGCCTTGTCCTTTCTGTTTTAGCTCTAGTATGTTTTCTTTGCAGAAACTAAGCCTTGCGCCGTTGAAGTCTAGTCCTACACCTGGCTCAAGCAAAGTCTTGGGCTTCGCGCGGAACCCGGCTATGTTCAACTGTCTCTCTTCTAGGGCCAAGAATGACTCCGTGCCAACGATTAGGGTATCGTCTGTTTGCATGCCTACAATACCAAAGTCATCGGCAGAGCCTGTAGTAGTTGATAAACACGTGTCAAAAGTTGACATTTCCATGCCCAGCTGCTGCTTGTGGTGCTCTTGATACGTATGGAACCAATGAACACCGGATTCTGCAATGCCGTACAGTGGTTTTATCACCCGAATTATAGTTCCTATCGGGAACTTATCTTTCAATTCTTGTGGGAGTTCAGCAAAAATCTGCCGCTGAAGTTGAGATTGGGCATGAGGATAAGCTTGCGTAATATCTCGAAGAGAGACACTCATGCCAATACAACAAAGTGAAGGTGCAGTTGACAGAATTGACCGCTGGGACATGCGTTGAATTGTAGGTGACTGAATTAGGATTGAAAGCTTCTCTAAGTCACTGTGACCTTGAAAAACTAATCGAGACTTTTCGTATGGTTTATTCCCTATACCCTTAACTTCACGGACCATGCGCGATTTAAATATTCGGCCGCGATGTTCAACTGGGTCGAACGACTCAAACTTGAAGACTCCTGCGCAAACAAGATCGTTTATTTCCTTGGCGTCAGAAGCCTCAAACGGTCGTCCTGGAGTACTTATCACGCCGTCGTTCCGAAGTTTAATTGAAAGCTCTCGGTCATTCTTCTCTTTCCTGCTGAGGAAGACTTGTGGGCCTCTTGTAACGTGATGAAGAGCTGTATTGTCTAGTGGTTTTGCTTTATTCTTGGAACCTTTTGGTCTACCTCGGCTGCGGGGGACTACGGGGATGGGGACTGGAGGATCATTTTGTTGGTCTACAGCTTCCGGACGAAAGTCTGGATAGGTTGTCGGATCCTGACTAGAACGATAGTAGGGCTGACAAACTGTGGAGCGGAATTTTGTTGGCCCATTCACCATATCCAGTATAACGTTGTGACCATCTGTCTCGATGGCACTGTAAGGGCCTTGCCATCCACTGTTCTCTCTCCATACTCGAACTTCACTGCCGACTGGTAGTGCTAGCAGCTCGTCCATTACCGGTCCATTCCTGGCACTCAACGCATTATTGACACGCTTCTGGGCAGTTACTGTGCGAAGCTGCTTCATGGCTTTGTTGACAGCCTCAGCACGTCGAGCAGTATCAATTGATGGGGGTGAGTCAGCATTTATCCGCGGATAGGCGCCAAAAACGAGAAGTGTGGGAACGAGTCCATTAGGGCCAGCAGTGTCATTAACAGCCTTCACAGCCATCTGAAGAAGTAAACTATCAGGCACCGTCCCTCCTAGCTCTTGAGAAATAATATTAAAAGCGCGGCGTAGGGGCTGATGGTAGCGTTCTACCTTTCCAATCGACCAATGAGCTTCTGTGGGAATTTGTTTACAAGATATACCCATACTCTTAGCTTCAGCACGAAACTCTTGCGATGCAAAGTTTGTACCGGAATCATGGGTTACAACATCAGGGGGTCCTAAATATACGTCAATCCAGCAAGAACGAAGGGCCTCAAACGTGTCCTTGGCGGACATGATTGTCAAGAAGCGGGCTGCGTTAAACCCAGTTGCAGAATCAACAACATGCAGGGCATTTTTATCGCCAAGCTTCAAAACATCTACTATAACCTCGTAGTTGAACTCTTGATCATCTTTTAAAGTGAATTTAAAGCGTCTAGGGGCCGTTGAATTCATCTGACATTGGTGGCAAAGTTTATTAATTACTTCGAGAGTTTCTGCAGTTATATCATCGTGACCAGCATTCTTGAGAAGTTTATGAAGCCTATGAGCTGCTGGATGGCCGAAGCGACGGTGTAGCCTACGGAGCTCTACTTCTGTAAGGAATAGTAGAGCATTTTCATTCTTGGGCAGGAAAAACCACAAATGACCCCATTTGCGAAGGACTGGGATCTCTTGCTTGCTGTTTTCATTTTGTTTGACGAGGACATTTCTGGTATTGTCAAGATAACAACTTAGGCGATCCATGTCTGCCAAGCAAAAAATAAAGGTGTTTGCGTCTCAACAATATGAAATTTGATATGCCCGGCCGGCGTTGGGACTAGAGTTGAGCCAATTGATTTGGTTAATTCACCTGGTCTAAAGAAAATTGCTGCTTCTCCCGCATCGTGCTCGTTGATGTAAATTTTAGGTAAAATGAGCTTTAGAGCAAGGAACTGTTCTTTTCCAACTGTAGAGAATGTGCTGGCACCAGTATCTATCAGTATCCCCTCGTAATTTAGCCTGCAGTACCGGTTGGATACAAAGGTTGATGGCAAATCTTCATAAATCTCAGCATACTTATCCTCGCCACTGAGTTTGTGTAAGAATGCTTGGTCGGCTAGTCAACAGACCTGATGAAAACTATCATGATCTTCGGCTGTAAGGTTGTTTTCTTCGGAATAATCAATTTCGTCAACTACTTCTGTCTCATCATCGATTCCTTCATACCCAGCAAGATAGATAGCAAAGTCTATTGGTGGTTGGCTATCACTATATATACAGTGGGACATGTACTGTGATTTTGCGCGGTTATGATCTTCCTTAGGGTGTTTTGTTGACCAACAACCTTCTTTACCGCATACAAAGCATTTCTTCTTCCAACGTAGCTGGCGCTGCTGCTGTCTTGAATCACCTGAAGGATTACCGCGATTACCACCTTGAAAGCTATTACCATTTCCAATTCGAGTTCCGTATTTATCGCGATGCGGGCGATTATGGGTGTATCGGCGGTCAAGAAAAAATTGATTATCACCCATAAACTCATCGTTGTACTGTGTAAATTGATTTGGACTGCGATTACTGTAGATTTCTATGGCGGATCGAAGTTGTGAAAACAATTCCTCACAACTTTTTCCAGGATTGAATAATGCTACTTCCAGTTCTGGAACACCTTTACAATTGGTTATAATCTGTGTTCGTAGCAAGCTTTCTCCAATGTACATTTCACCTAGGGCTCGCTGACAGAGCTGTTTCTTCTTCAAGAACGAGTCGAGGACTTCTTGTAAGGGCTTATCTGGAGTCTTACTACGGAAGTTTGCGAATGTAATATTTGTCCAGTCAGTGTATTATTGATGGTGATTAATTTCCGTGTCGAAATGATACTTCATCTTAGTATATTGATTATAAAAGGTGTCGTCTTTTTGCACGTAGCTTAAATAGAAAGCTTGAGCCTCACCATCCAGAATGTGTGAAAACAAACCATGGAAATACTGGACTGGGATGCTAAGATTGTAGCAAATTCGTAAGAAGAATCGAACTTTGTCGTCCAGCAAATCATACGCTTCTCCAGTGTAATTTTGGTTACGATTCCATAGCTTGATGAAAGATGTTTGTGTGTTGGCATCGACTCTTTCATTTTGGACGTCGCATGGTGGGAGGTCATTATAGTCATCAAAGGTTTTGTAATCTACTACAGCTCTGACAGCTGGTCTCTGAGGGTATAAAGTACCTGGTGCTGGTCGTGGTTGATCATTCTCCCAAGGGTAAGGAGACTGTGAACGAATGGGTCGGAAGGGAGGTTGTGATTGTTGTTTTAGAGTTGGCAACATTGAATTGAGAGCCTGGCCTTCTACTGACTGATAGGCAGTTTGCTTTGGTGCAACCTTTGGCTGTTGAAACTGTTGACCTTGGTCTGGTAGGTCTATCTCCTTTATTTGAGGCCACTCTGGAAGTTCTTCGCAGTTCAGAAGAGTTACCATTGCAATACCGATTGGTATTGTCTTCTTGCCGGTATAGACACCGTTGTTGTGGAGATAATCTCGGAATCTTTTCTTAAATGGACTTTTGATTTTACCGAACATATCTGATGTCCAGTCCGCAAACTCTTCCTTAAAAAGCAGGAAGAGATCTTCGCCATGTTCTTTGTATTCTTCCCAATCTGTGAGAAGCTTGACAGCATAGGTAGTGAGCGCTACTGCGGATGACAATTTATCGACAGGTTCGCCCCATAGATCTGGATCTAGAGAGTCGAAATGACGAGAGGATATGCTTGTACCTTCAAATCTTAGGGCGAGTTGCACGATCTTGTAATCCTTGATGCGGTTTTCGGCTTCTGCCTCTGAAGTATTTGTTCCGGACATTTCCATCAGGTTTCCTTCTGGACAGCAGTTGCTGTGTGGATTTTGAAATTGAAGCGTGAATGACGCTTATCTTGGCAACAGTAGAGGAACTAACACGCACAACAGCAAAGTTGTCGGTCAGGGTAGGTCTATAGGCTGTAGCTTTCGATCTTCTTGTAGTTTGCTGGATAGTATGGCTCTATTGCGCGTCCTTACAAAGGTGTCGATGCAGTAACAATCTTGAAAACTAACAATGTATTCTTAGCACTTTTCTCTCCCGCTGATCGTTCAGAAGTTAATCAGAGAACGCGAAGTAGAGAGATCTGTCTCTTCAACTTAGCTGTTCTGTAGTCACACCTATGGAATACTGATCAGTGTCGGTTGGTTATATACACGTGTACGCGTAAGCAATGGGGTTCTCTCAGATGTGTTAGTTCTCGTTCTATTTACTTGCGGGCGTGTCTTCCATATGGGCGACACGGCGAACCGCACTAAGTCATGTGACTACTGCCTACTCACAAAACAAACTCCCATACCTGCCGGGTGACCACAAACCTACTTCGGCTTTGAGGATTCCTCATTAATATTACAACATTCCCTAAGATTTCAAGGTTCTTATCCTTCAGAGTTGTCTGCGCTCCGCTGCTGTTAATGATGGTGGCCATTGTCGCTTTTTTACGGCGCGTCGAAACCGCTGGATTTACCAACACAAGCATCTACACCTGCCATGGCGAAGCACAGAAAACGAAATGACGGGAGGAGGGTAAATTATTATTTCATTTTATTGTCCTGTCTGAGTCTTTAACTATATAGGACATGCAGGTCTTCTCTGCCTACAGGCCAAGGATACCTATATCAGTAGTATATCCCCTCCTATACCTCCCATACAGCTCCCCTCAAACAGTACCGCCCTTCACAAGTCCTCACTCGATCATACACTTAGAGGAGCCCCTTTCCCTTCATTATCTCCCCTCTCCTGCCAACGAGATGATGGCCATTTGCGGGTGCATTGCAGCCGGGAAAAATCGCAAAAAGCACTGGGTGCGGGGCTCTTGTGATACCGACATTAGGACTAGATCCGAAAACATAGTGGCCCTTTTGAAGCGTTAGAAGAGGCCGGCCAGCTGGGCGCTGCAGACTTGTGGGTACCTCGGAGAATTCACACTCTGCCTTTCTAGCCTCCTTCCCGAAGGCCGGTTTGAAAAGTCGGAAAAGTCTTGACAGAGCGTAATTGCTGTATGGTAGCTTAGCTCAACTTTTTTTGTGCAGTCCAGAGCCCTGGGGAGTGCCGTTGACTCATTGACAATAGAAGCCCTCCTGGCTAATTATCCGAAATCTCATTTTTGGAGCCCACAATCGTTCCAAAGTTGAAACCCCCTCGAAGATATCAGTCCCAGAATGGTTGACAGAGAATTGTTCCCTCTCTCGCTCCACATTTCAGCCGCCTATCCTTCCTCAAGATGTATAGCCCCATTAGAGCATCAGTCCCCCATAAATCAAGACCCCAACTTTGTATATTATGACTTAATTTCCTCCTTTCGGGTATACGTAGCGTCGTAAATTTGTAGTGAGTAATGGCCGGTGATGAGTGAGGCAAGCTCCTATTTGCAATTGGGGTGACGCCTTTATCGGTCGGCGAGGCGAGATGATATGTGGTTAGATCGGGGTTGAGGACTCAGAAGATAATGATGAGTGCTGCATGGTTGAGAAGTCGTCAAATGGAGATATGCATGTGTTTGCTTTCGACTTCGATTCGGTTGCGATTCTTCTTGGCTATCCCAGATATGCAGAGCATACTGAGCGATTACACCGGCACCACTGGAAGGTTAAGAATTTGTCTTTGCCAGCGGTGGGGGGTAAAAAAGACATAACAATTAGATTCACGATTTCAAATTGACGATAAATGCAGCGTGAAGCGCTGGGCAGCTTTTCGGCAAAACTGATATTTTTTCGGCACCGCATTCATATCAAATATTGGGAAAATAAAATTAATATTTTGACGAAAATTTTCAAAGTTTTCTGGTAAGCTTTGATGTCCGTAGTCATAGGATTTGTAGAAACTGTTGTGAGATTTAAATTAGTTTGCTGGTGCTGCAGAATGTTACATGGTTCTCAGTGACGTACTGTCAACAACAAGCAAATATCTGTTGGATCTCCTTGGCATAAATTTCTGCAGATCCAGGCCTATTTAAGATCCGCATGACCCTCCAGGTTCGTGCGCTAATCAAAGGGATGAATACCAATCTCATTCAATTGCGGTGTTGACCAGCGTTCAAAATTTCACGGCCGTATAACATAATTTTTTCATATCAGTGAAACTCTCAAGCTTAAGTTGTGTAAGGCAACGGATACTCAAGATCATTACACCACATTTGTTTTCATTTTACAAGATAAAAACTAGGCAGGCGTAATCAAAACTTCGCAAGTATAGAAATGTTCTGCATAGAATGTGGGAATCAGCTTCCGGAAGTTCGCGACAGTCATACAATTTGTTGCAAATGCAGAACTCCGCTATCCACATGGTGGGATGAAACTTCTGCTACTTTTAGGACTAACCGCGAAACAATATTACCAGATGACCAGGCCCATTTTAGATTCCAGCTTGATCCTAAAGAGAAAGAGATAATGGCGATGCGTAGGAATAACCAGACAGAAGAAGAGCGAACGTTCAATGCAGCCCTCATTTGTCTTGAACATCACTTTGAGCGGCCACAAAATTCAATGGCGGGAACCATGGAGCGAGTTCGAAAGATCATATCCACAACGTTGGATCTGAGTCTAAAAAAAGCCGAGGTCCGGTATTTACTCCGCTTAACTTGAAAGTAACCATCATCAGAAGCTGATTCAGTCAGTGAAAAACTTGCAAAAAACGTTGACATCTGGATGCATCTACGAAATATACTCACTTGTGCATATTCTGTCCTCGAAAGACGCTCCTTACGAACTGCAAAAGGTCCAGATGGTTCTATAAACCATCACGATACATCAGAGTCAACCGATCTAATTTTATGCAACTATGACTTTTTATTGAAAGATTTACATTTTCTAAATAGTTTGTTGATTATTAGTAGAAACATGCTTGCAATTAAAGAAACTGCACAAGAAATATGTGCGGCAGTTCAGGTGGACAGAGCTGTTCATCGAATCATAAGCTTGTGCATTGATATTACCAGTAAAGGATATGATGGTGAAACTGTGGATGAGGCTAAGAGAGCGCGATTGAACGAAATCACAGAACTCTGTAAGTCGATCAATCTACACGGTCCAGTACTGTGGCTCATAATCCCTCAGATAAGAAACTTTTAGTCACATGTCTACAACATACGCACAACTGGACCATGGGAAATGATAGGTTTAAAATGTCATTTTGGTTCGATATGCTTTTCGACGATGATCTGAAGAATGATAATATACACGAATCTTCACCAGATTCTTTGAATGTTGAGATTGCATGCCAAGAGGTTAATAATTGGTTAAGAAGAAATAATAAGAGGGATAAAATGGCCTCCGAACTACTCGAAAAATATGCTCAAGATGAGTTATCACCATATAGCCCTGGTGTTCTACCTAGGACAAAAGAACTTCCCAAAGATGATGCTGAGATTCTACCGACGCCAATCTGGAAACCCGAACTAAAGGACAAATTTGAGCAGGATAGACTCTATGCCCGAGTATCTCACGAAATTGACATGTGGTGGAAAAAGGTACGTGACCGAAATTTTGAAGGCTGGATTGTTACAATGGAAACTGTTGAGGCTGCACAAGAGCGAACAGCGGCATACAAGGAAGATACCGTGAACCGATATATGCTTCAAGGTGCGGGTATTGACCAATATGATCCACATGGTCAATATGAGCATCAGCAAGATCAAGATGGCATAGATTCGAACGAAATGGAGATTAGATCAGTCCCAGACGAACCTTGTGAAGAGGATGACGACGATGATGATTCTTATGTTGAGGGAAGTCTACGAGGATTATTGACTGAGATACCTAATATTTTAGACACAAAACAAATTGAGGCCTTACATATGACGGTGAAGGCTTGTATTGTGGATTCCATGGGATCTGGACTGACACCAGCTGGTGAGAATCTTCAAAAAACGAGATGCAAAATGTTTTTGGCACTTGACTGCGGCAAAAATCTGCTTCGGGAACTTCTAGTATTTATTGCTGTTTGGGAACAGACCGATCAACATTTTATATTTCAAATAACCGCCCAAATTATCGAATCTTTCCATCACAATGCTTTACTTCCTTATGCCTGGGATTCCCTCAGAATACTTAAAGACATAGTTTCTCCAGCGCAAACTGTTCTTCTTCGCCTCATAAATTACATGTTTCGAGCTCGGAAAGACAGTCCTATATATGATGATGTCAAAGACTATAATCGCGACGCTAAACTTATACATTTTCTGTACAATTATTTTCGTTGTAGGGTTGTTCCTGATTGTTTAGCACTAATTCATGCGCAAGCTCAAATTCGACAAAACAAAAAACATCCAAGTGACTTTCCCGTCGATTCATGGGATATGGAACGGGCTAAAGATGGACTCGCACAATATTTAGACTTTATTTCGGTGATCGCTGAGATACCAGAGATGAGGCATCTACTTATTGAGTGGGAAGCGGTTTATGAGCTAGTAGCGTTGCTCAAAGATCTAGAAGCTGGTGTGGCAAGGAAATCTATTGATGACCGACCCAATCCTCCACAGAATCGACAACCAACTCAAGAAGAATCTTCGCCAGTTGTGTTTTCTTTCGACAGCAATGTTCCGGGCTCGATATCTGCATCCAGCCTTCCCCCATTGCAACACATTCCATACAAATTTGCATGGTCTGGCATCAAGAACCAGATTTTAATAATCCTTACTTCTCTCATTTCTCCCACTGGACCGAAGCGGAGTGGACCAGGGAACCCAACTGTTCAAAAACAGCTACTCGCTCACGATGGAATTATGCCTTTATTAAACTGTTGTGTATATGATGGAAATAACGAATACCTGAAAGAGCGCGCCACATTAGCAATTAAGTTTCTAATGGAAGGCTGTAAAGAAGCACAAGACTTTGTTAAGGAGCTTGTACCTGTCAAACAGGCGCAAGTACAGGCGCAAGCTGCTGCTAGAGCTCAGACAGAGGCTAATTCACATTCACGAGACGGCGGAAAGGGCAACAACTCGAAAGTAATATCAAGCGGCTCATCAAGTAGCAAAATGAATCTTTCCGGATTAACACACACTGCAGCTTCGACTCAACCAAGCCTTACAGGCGCACAAGACGTGGAAGCTAAAATAAAAGAATTAGAAAAAAATATTAAGATGGCACAACTAGGAAGCGCAAGTATCTCTGGATGTCTGAAGTCTAAAAATTTAGACGCTAATTCTACCACAAAAGCAGCTCAATCAGCATCATTGCATAACAAATCAAATGGAGTTCCATCTAAAAAATCTAAGAAAAATTCTGGCTAGGGTCTCAATGAACTACTGCTCAAGCATATCATGGAGTTGAAAATTTAAGATATCTGGCGTTTAATATATCAAAATATGCTGGAGTAGCTAGTGATACGTTGAAAATTTATACGAAAAAGGTAGGTACACGAAGTAATTTTAGCTAAAGCAATAGCATCTAGCTTAGGCTAATCTCTATTTTTTTTTCTCTAAGCGAATGAAATGTTATGTATGTGAGATGACTCTAATAGATTATTTTCGATCTTGGCGTCTGTACTATTGTTTTTTAAATTGCTAGGAAAATTTCCGACATTTCACGAAGCGTTCACAACACAGCTGAAAAAAGCATCGACTTTATCTTCAGTTAATTATTATGGTATTAATACTCAATTTAAATGAATGGAACCTTTATCCCTGCCAACTATAATACCCATAACTTTCATCGGCGCTGTTAGTGTTTGATGTAGAATTTAAAAATTTAAGATCATAGTTAATCCGACGTGCTAGAGTAATAAAAAGTATCTGCATAAATAAATCCAAGATTCACTTCATTTTTCCCGGCGATCTGATGCTGCTAGAATATGCAAAATATTTTGTCTCTCTGACTTTATCTAGGACGCTGAGTTGTCACCGGCAAATTTGACCAAGGCTTATTTAGAAATTTAGAGGGGTCGGATGGTACCAGGAAACTTGGATATCAGTCCTACTTATTGTTATTATGAGAATGGGGATGGAATAGACACAGCAAGTTAATAGTTTGATGCACTTGACGCTACTAAAGATGAAAATAATATATGACCTATTTATAGGCTTTATTAACTTTATATCTAAACTAAAATCATTTTCTTTTTATACATATAGATTTTACATACACTATTTGCTTAAAGCATCGCTATTAGAACATTATAATTCTCACATTCTCAGCGACACAAGAATATGAGAACCTTCTCCTATCTCCATTGGTTCTATAGTCCTATGCATATATTTCCAGACATGCTACATAAATTTCGTTTTTCTGTATACATGCTTTTGCTTCCACCTATCAAAATCTATAAGTGCTACTGCGACAGAGTATATCTCACCATGTGGTCATATCTTTATTCTGATATGACAACATCATAGTCAACAAGTCTAGATAATTTACGAGGATCTAGATCGGTGCATATTTTCCTCATATTTAACCTCTAAGTACAAGATGAGATACAAATCTTTTTATAGTTCCTTCTGAGTCTAAGAATATAAAGGCTCTATCTGTATACAAACTTTACCATAGAAATGATTCTTGATACTCTAAGTTTAAACATGCACTAGTGAAAGAAACTTAAGTATTAGAATATAATTCATTTAGATAACTGATACAGGAATACCGAGAGTAGATCCTGTTGGACTATTTTGGAGATGAGAATAGAAGGTAACAAATCATCGAAGGGTTGTCCCTCTATTCTCTGGCTATCGAGTATCTAAAATACATAGTTTTCCTCATATGGAACCCCACTAGATAACTCGCTGGCAATAATGCTACCACCGAAACATACCAAACCGTGCTCAGGATAGATAAGATCAGAATATCATCGGAAACATTAATGTAAACCCAAATCAGAGTATGAGTCATGTAAAATCCGAACAAAAAGATATTTTCCTTGATACGCATCACGTATCAGCATTAACTTCTCCGACCCGAGTCATGTTGTGAGTAAATTCGGGTAAACCTAAAATAACCGTAGCGCAGCAGATCCGTTTAAATTATGGGGTTGAGCAGAACTTGTATTTTTCTGCAGTCTCTTCACTATCTAAAAATGCTACAGCATAGCTCTTACTAACGTGCTACTGCTAGGCTCATCTATGCGCTAATATGGAAGTATTAATACAGGATATATAAGTTATCCAGATGCCTTACTAATTCTACCCTTAAACAATAATTACAACCCTAACTCCATTTTTTTATGATGCATGGATAATGTTGAAAATATTTATCGATTTTATACATTGGTCTGTAATCACAGACACAGAAATTGATTCATGAGATTGTTTAATGAGAGTCTAGGGTTAATTCCGATATTCTTTGGTAGAAGACTTGTGCTATAATTAGAGGCTACAATGTCTTTATATATATACATATTTACCCCCAAATTCACCATATCCGCTAGCCTTTCTAAATCTAGCATGTATAGCCTGATTTATCTGATGGTTCTGGGTTAGAACTGTAGTTTCTTAATAGCAGTATTCTTTTAGCTACTATAATATATTACAGCTTTTAGATTTAGTTTACCGTGCGATACTTTCACCTGAGCTACATGACTCCTTGATATGCTGCCCGCTAGGTGATCAGTGAGATAACCGAAGCCAAACCTTAAAATAACCTTGTTTACGAACCCATTAATACCTAAGACAGGAGCCTGCAATCTAACACAATTAGGCTGGGAATTGCCAACGATAACCTAATCCAGACAAATATTGCGCAATGATATGGAAGCAATATTTATGAAGCGAAAGTAGAAGTTGACTAAAAGAGTGTCATGATCGGATTAAAGCTAAAAGAGTGGGAGAGGTGCGCTACAAGTACAAGTGTAGGAGGGCAATCCTGAACACCTGCACGCGGTGCCTTCTACGAACCTAGGAGTGAAATATTCTCCCAGAGCCAAGTTCAGTCAAATTTCGCAATATCAAATAAGTTGGCCCACGAGGCAATGATTTAAATTACTCCATCACGTCGTTTTTTCGCTCCTAACGAGTTTGACTCCTACCTACGCCTCATCTAGTCTACAAGTATGACCTAGTACATCTTAATCCCAATGACCACACCTCTCTTCGACTTTCTCTGGCCTCAGCTGGTCGCCAGATACACGCCCACGCCGATATTTACACCCGACGGAGGAAGCAAAGCGTGGCGCACACATCTGGGATACAGTTCTTTGGGATGGACGTTAGAGGGATCAGGACAAGTTCATAAGATGATGCAAAGGATGGATACATTCCCGACGGGCGTGAAATTTTGAATTTTGGCAAAGAGTTTTTAAAAATTGAGCTTTGTGCGTGCCAAGACTTCGCTTGCGAGAGTGCAGCTGACACTATGAAAACGAGCAAACGATGGAGGGTGTTGTGGTACGCCTCCTGGTGTTGTTCTCCGGTATAGTTTGAGTAGCCTGGGTACCTACTCCACTTGGGAAGGAGATACCAAAGACCATATTTCGCGCGGAGAAAAGTTGATGGATGATGGAGGCATGTCTGGATAACTCAGGATTTTTGAGACGTTCCCCTGGGAGAGTATTCACGAATGAGGGTTGACTTGGGGTGAAGAAAAAGCCATCATAACTTCGCAGTGGTACTTGCAAATGAAATCCGAGGCATGAGTGCTCCTCTTGTAAATTGAGTCATCTTTTCTGTACTTTTATTTGATATTGTGTCATAGCTAGACAGCTGCATACGCAATTAAAATCTGATGCAAAAAAAAAAAAGTACAAGTGTATGCGACACGTGGTCCAAGCCACAGCATAAACGAGTGTGGCGCCATCTAGGCATAGTAAACTCCAATAACCTCCCTGTACCCACACCATACAGCCGCTCATAAATCCAATAGATAGCCTGAAGTACCACCATATTACCCATTCAAACCTCTTAAACACACACAATATCGTATTGGGGACCTAGACGAAATGGAGGGCCCGTACGTCCACAACACTCTGTGTCTCCATTTCCAACAGATAATAATGATTGACCCACGCTATTACAACTCAAAATTTAGACTCTAAATCAAGTTTTATTTTCTATCATATGAGTGTTTGTAGCGATTTTACCATGATACAACTTCAGTGCAATTTTTAAATGATAGGTGACGGGAGCACAAAGACTGAAGACCTGTACGCGGTGTCTACGAACCTTGTAGTGAAATATCCTCTGAGAGCCAAGTTCAGTCAAATCTCGCTATACCAAAGTAGCCCTCAAGGCAATGATCCAAGACACTCAATAAAATCAACCTCTACCTCCCAAGGAGATAGATTTCCATCGAAACAACATCAGTCCTACAAGTACGATTTCGTACATCTTTATTTCCATGGCCGCACCTTTTATCGACGTTCTCTGACCTCAGCAAGACACCAAATACACGCTCATACTGATATTAATCTTCATTGAAGGGAAAAATAGCGTGACGCGCAAATCTGTAAGGCAGTTCTTTAAGATTGACACGAGAGAGGTCATGACGAGTTTACAAGATGATGCAAAAGAAAGATACAATCTCGGAAAGAAATTTACATATATAAGAGTTTTATGCGCATGAAGCCTTTGATTGCAAGAATGTAGCTAACACTACAAACAAAAACGAACTATTTCTGGGCTTTCATGCTTCTCGCGGTTGCCCCGACGCTCCAGCATTCTGGAAGTAGACGCTAACAATGTACTCGCGAGCCAAGAGCAAAGTTCACACACGACATCGAAAATGTGGGGGTCCTCGCCGATTGGATTGTCGGGATTGCTTAGCCAGACTCATGAAAATTCAGTCGGCGAACAAAGAGCCGCTAGCGGTGATTCGCCAATCTGAGTAAGGGAGGTTTGCAGCATCAGTCCTAACAAGAGCTGCAGCCAAAAGATCATAAGATAATATCTTCGCCTCAACGAAAGATATTACCATGGTAGAGGGATCGGGCTCAGAGTTTTTGAGTCCAAGCAAGAAGTTTTAGGGGGCAGCAACCTTTGGTAACGTCTACAAAATCTTCAATAAAATAAAGTAAGAAACTGGCCGACTAGCAGGAATACCTGCGTATTCACCTTTCGCTTTCGGCAAAGGTTAGAAAATTTGATCTAGAAGATGTGACAGGAAATGAAACGCGCGAGAAGCATAGGATCCGATAGAACAAGGTAATTTCTCTAATTTTGATTTTAATTTTAATTTAGTTTTGTTCTTAACTTCTACTGTCAGGCGCCGGCTCACTAGGCGCAAGACTCGAGGCGTAGGAGAGGGCCTAGCGTACGATGTACTGAGAAAGAACACCTCGTGGAAACGCTGAGGGCTTTCTAGAGAAGTG